TGAAGTCACAATGGAGTATGAGTGTGATGGTTGGATGGAATGCCAGCAGGTTAGTGAATGCGAATGCTAATGTTAGTCCTTGTTCACTAATCATATTGTCACTCTCTTGTGACTTCAGGATAACTCGATGTATTCATATTAACATATGCAACTCTCCATAACTGTTAATTATCCTTCAACGATTTCTAAGAGTTTTGTTATATCGATCATTGAAAACCGAACGATGATTCAAATGAATCCAACCGGTATGCAGAATTCGGCTCATGTGGTTGCTTCCATCGCTCCAGGACAAGATACGAAGACTCATCCAGTATGCGATTTTGCAGAGCAAGGTAAGCACTTTATGTTCAAATATCACACTTCTCAAAAAAAATTATAATTATCAAGAACAAATTCTAATGTTACGAGGACATAGAAAACGTTCAATCTTTGTTGGTGGTGGTGAGGATAGTGTCAGGAGGGTGCATCGAATTTATTAATAATAAGCATGAAATAAATAATATTTTGGTTTTAGAATAATCACATCACGAACTACGTTTTAAACATCGAAGTCATAAGTCGGAAACTTTTGCACAAGTTATGACTAACTTTTGTTGGATCTTATGATGACTACGTTTTTGAGCAGAATTTGTGTGATAATGGCAGAATCTTCTATCTTTCGTTGTCTGCTCTCATCTTGTGTCTTTATTGTGTTTTTTGTCATGGTTAGTTTTTTTGTAGCTTTTATTATTGTCACGTGAAGGTTTTAGATTATACTTCAGAATCACTCGGCATTTATGACTGAAAATAAGAACAAAACAACTCCCTACGTCTCTCTAGATGAAAAGACGAAAATTGAGGATGAGGATTGGAATGAAAATTGTGGTATGTCTTTTCTGCTACAATATAATCTTTTGAAACAATTTTAATATCGGTTTTCATAGGGAAATGTGGACGAGAAGATATCCGATCGACGATTTTAACTGAGTAAGTGCGTAAAATAGTTATGATTCTAGCGAACAGACCGCCTTGATACATACAAGGCAATTATAAATATTTTGAAACGCGAATGTAATGAAACAATGTTCATTCGTGTACAAAACGTCTCGAAATTCATCAGAAAACTGATTTTTTTCAGAGAATTTCTGCAGAATGTCTATTGAGAAACCTTCTTACATTTAGATGCAATATTTTTAATGTTATCTTAATACGTATTCAGGCCGATAGGTTCACGGATGCTTAACTACTTGAACAAAAGAGTATTGTGCCAAGAATGCTTCAATAATATTAGTAGAGAATGCCAACAATATGATGAAGCATTCGGTAATCAAACATTTCTATTAACTACTTTTGCAATTTTTTCGTAACCCTGAAATTTCGTTTCATTTTAGAGTCCCCTTTAAACTTAGAAAAAGAAGGATTCCAGTCAAGAAAAAGATCCAAATCAATAGATGAATTTAGAATCGATGATGATAAAAGGCGAGACTGCTCAGCCGGGCTAAATCGGTCACCTGCATCAGCAACAGGTACGAACACATACGCTTGTTCACACAATGAAAAAATGACGAAACCACTTAACGCTATATTTTATTTCTTTTAGAATCAGAAGAATATGATTATGAGTTTGAATCGTATTATGCACAACTGAGCAACGTCAACGTTGCAAACACAACAGAGCCAAAACAAAAAAAGACATACCCAGTGTTATGGCTAGAGCATTGTGAAAACGTGAATGCAGATTACCATATGAATTATAAGCAAAAGATACGCGAGAATAAGTTTACTTTAGAGACATTCACAACTGACATATTGTGTGAAAACTATATGCAATCAGATACGTCTGGAATGTGTTTTCTGATAGTTGATGCCAGCTCCGGAAAAACATTTTTGGAAAAGCAAATTGAAACAGGTGAGATATATTAATTCTTAAAATGACGAGCAAAACAAAAATCTGATCCAGAAAAGTGTTATATTAACGCGACGTCAACGGGGTCAGGATTACTCATATTTTGATATTTTTTTAAGCCAAAGGAAAAATCCGACTTCATAATCATTCAAAATTAACAGCGATTTATGTCTACGCCCCAGTCACAAATATGAAAATTGTTGATGATGAGGCACCAACCATGAACAATCGAAATATTATTCACGAGACACTCATTGAAACTAGTGAAGTGTTGCCAAATCCAATAAGGTTTTCACCAAGCGTGATGACCGTACACAATCATACGACCTCAGTAGTTGATCATCCGGTAGCTTCACAAAGAAGTGAATCAACACCGCCTCAGAGTATTGCAAGAGATACGGTCAACCTTGAAAGTCCTCCTCTACTAGAACAATCAGAAGTTGACACTTCGCCCAAAAATGTATGCTCGCGATTCGCTTCGTTTTGGAAAAAATGCTGTAGTTGCAGGCGTAGTTCGAATATTATGGTACTTAATATTGACGAAGCCTCGCCGTTATTGACACGGGATTCCAATACCGTAATTCAAGGTATTAAATATTACATCTAGTTCCCATTTTCGCCAATACGCGAACAACATACTCCCAAAAATCACTATTTTGCGACCTTCACATTAGTAGTGCGTCACTTTAAATGTTCAACTGTACCTGAAATGAGTAACACCTATTGCAAAGTTTTCTGCGCAAAAAGCTTCTTTATTATTGGCTCTGTGTAATCATTCAATGCAGATAAAACATCATGCGTATCAACCAGAATTCTCCGCTCTTCCCGAATGTGTACTGAGAAGTGTTCTGTCTATCTTAGCTTGCGAATAGGGATGTACAAGTGCCAGTGTACTCAGTACTGGTTTTCTGCAATAACTAGCAGTCCAATGAGTAATTTTCTCGACCATAATTTCTTTTGTTCATATTCAAGTAAAAAATTGACTTTTGCAGCATTTTAAATAGTACTCTCTAAAAAATAAAGGTGTCATACTGAATCTTTTCAAGATTTTACTCAGGATCCTGAACTTTTTAAGGTTCTATCCAACAAGTAAAGGATCCTCAAAAGGTTCAGACTTTCCGACTAAACCCTTTTACAGTTGTAGAAAGCTTGTCTAGAACTGAAAACCGCTTTACATCTCGGTACCGGAAAAGTTTTTTATGACACCTTTTTTTTATAGAGTAGGAAAACATTTTAGCTACAGAATAGTTCTATTTCTTGTCGGATTATTTTCTATAGTGCTTTTTCAATGATCCTTTTCAGTTATTTGCTTAGTTTGTGTGATCTCGAGTGCAATTATACATCTAGATAGTTATCACGTTTATAAACAATCAAAATCTAGGAAGAAAATCAACGATGATTAGGCTATCATTGTAAAAAAATTAATGAACCGAAATAGTTCTCAACCCGTTCACATCTATGAATAAAAATTTAGGATTGGGATCGAATTGAAAAGTATTAAGCGATTTCTTATAATATGACGTTCTAATCCATTTTCACACTACTTCAATAAAAAAAACGACGTAACTAAAAACAAAATTTCTTGCGCTGCACGATTGACACCGACTTTGATTGATTAAAACTAGAGTGTAGCTAATGAAAACCTGGTGAAAACTGCTCATTTATCACAGAGAAATAAAATAAAATTTTACGATCATTCTCGATGTTACCTGACTTGAATCCTGCAGTTTTATTTGAGCAGACGTCATTTTGCCAAAAATGTGAGCCTAGCCTACCCTACCCTGAAATCGTTCCATTACCTCTATTTTCATGTTGAACTTCTGGACTGCAAAAGTAAGCTATGATAAAAATATGTCGCAATCTACACAAGAAACGCTAAATTTTAGACAATTATCAACAGCAATAACATCGTGCTGCACTTTTTCAATAACACAGGGACTTCTCTAACAGTTCTTAAAATGGTCGAAGGATTCTCTCGATACTCTCAAATGAAAATAAGCAGAAAATTGCTTAGTCCATACTCAGTGAGAACACAAAATGCTGGTTCTAACACATAACGTTTCACTCGCCTAAGATGATTTTAAAAAGGTCTGTAATAAAGAAACATTTTTGTCTCAAGACTCGAATAACTCGTTATGATACTTTTACTTAACGAGATGATACTCTTAAAAAATATCCCCGTTTTTCTATATATAGAACGTCGAATTCCAACTCAAAACGAATTATCAGCATCGTCTGACATGCAATCAGATCAAGCAACTGATAATAGTACAGATGAATCATTGGTTCAACTGAACGACAATGACTGGACGAAAAATTTTTCAAAGGCCAGTATACCTAATTATAAAAGTTTGGTCTAACTAAAGACAAATAAAATGTATAGACTTGACAGACAGCTTTAAGAAATGTAAGATGCCTTCGATCAGCATTCAAGTATTCTCTATCATAATTCGATCCAGAATAGATTCCAAGTAAAAGCACGGAGGTTCCAAATAGTACTCAGCGAGTTTTATCCAATTATGTAATTATTTTTCAGAAATTCTTTTCCTTTTGGCTTAAAATACCTGATCACTGCGAAAAACAGTGCAAAATGTACTAGACAACCGTAAAAACTACCGTAATTCCGCCTTGCATCAATTACAAGTAAAACATAGAGGTTCTAAATTGAGCTCAAAGTGCTCTATCGAATTTACTACTCTGTTGTTCGATCCCCTGCTAGCATCGATGACAAATTCGATTTATATGCTGAAAATCAGCTGTTTTTTAGTAAAACTCGTCTCGATTCACGAGTGAGTGCTCTTTTAAAATACATCTTCCAATTAGATCTCGGCATAACCAGTGGATTCCAGATTTTATTTATTCCATAAAATGGTTTTTGAAAGGAAAAAATCCCTAGTTTGTGCTTAACTGATTAGTTTCATGAAAACTAGTATGATTGTTGCAAACGCTCTCCAAAACCAATAGAATTAGCTCTGAATTACGCGTACAACAAGGATCTCCTTGAATGAACAGCCCCACTCAAAATCGGCTCTGGCTGTTTAATTTATGCCGCCAATAAAATTCAAATTTTCCCTTAAAATGAAAATTGTAAACCAAACCCAACATAGGGATGAACACTTTCCTTCTCTTAAACTTTGAGCAATACTGAAAAAATAATCATTTTTTGTGAAACTCAACTAAGGAAGTTGCGCTCTCCTCATACAACCTGGATCGAACTCATCAAGTACTATTTTTAACTTCCGTGTTTTACTTGGAACCTATCGTGAGCCGAATAGTAAGATGAAATACTTGAATCCGGACATAATATATCCTACGTTTTTCGGAGAGTGAACAACATTATTCGAACTAATTTATAAAGCATATAAAAAAAACTCTATCATAGAAAAGGTTAGAGAAATAAAATTGGATAAGTTGCTTTGAGTCCTTCCTAGGAAGTGGCATTGAACCTTTCTCCGTACCATTTGTTAAATCACTTCCTTCATTTTTAGATTCGTGGTGTGTTTATAAATTTTGATGACTTGCTTGCCCAGATATGTCAAGATCAAATAGTTGTGAAAGAAGACATTGACAATTTATTGAAGCTGTCAGTTATTAAGTGTGATGAAGCATCAGTTCAATCATCAAAACGTGGCAATTTCATATGGTTTCAAATATTTATCGAAGCATTAACAAGAATGAAAGACGATCGGGATGTCGCTAAAACAGAACTACTAGATTTATGCCATTTAGTCTTCAAAGATGATGCTTCAACTCTAAGGGACTTACAAAACTTTGAGAGAGACTACAGCGCTCATAATGCAGTATATTGGTATACGCTAGGCAAGTGTTTCTATCGTCTAATCAATAAAGCACTACGATTTCACATCTACGATACTATCATTGCTTTTCGTCTGTTGATCAATGACATTGTTAAACAATTAAAAGAAGAACAGGGACAAAATGACCTTTTTGCTTTTACTTCAACTATCCGCGTCTTTCGTGGGCAATGGATGAGGAGGCAAGAATTCAAAGAGTTATCCAATTCGATAGACAACCTTGTAGTTGTGAACAGTTTCTTATCAGCCACATTAAATGATACTACTGCTCAACATTTTATTTATGGTGCTCAAATTAATGAAACAGAAACACCGGTTCTAATGATAATCCACATTGATAATACACTAGCAACTGGAACTTATGCAGACATTAGTAGTCTAAGTGCATTCCCAGACGAGAAGGAAATTCTTTTTACGGCTGGATGTGTCTTTCGTATCAAAAATGTTTATAAAAATCCAGGAGACCAATTCAGCACAATCGAACTCGCATTAAGCAGCCAAGATGATAGTGAACTAAGAGAAACCTACAACTATATTAGAGATGGTTTAGCGAAAGAAATTGATTTCAATGGATTAGGGGAAGTTCTTTTTAAGATGAATGAACTTAAATCGTCTGAAAAATGTCATAAACGTGCCTTAGAAATGCCATCAACCAACGATTTGCAGCGGCTTCGATCTTTCGATGGGTTAGCACATTTAAATGGGGAATTTGGTAACCACGAAACAGCTTTGAAAATACACAAGCAAGTGTTAAACAAGCGGATCCACCACTTATCACCCAACGATAAACTAGTAGGGAAGAGTCATGTATATGTTGGGATCGAGTACTATCATTTAAAACAATTGGACAAAGCTTTATTTCACTATGAAAAAGCACTACAAATATATAATGAATGCTATCCAGCTAATCATCCTGTTTATTTCCAGTTCGCCAATAATGTGGCGGTAGTTTATGCAGCTAAAATTGAGTATGGCAAAGCCAGAATTCATTTGGAAAAGGCCGACGAAATTTTGAGAGCTGCGAATGTGCCAGAAACACATCCAGATACAGCTACAATCCTAAGTAACATAGGAGTCGTATTCAGTCACTTAAATGATGCTGATAACGCACTGAGTTTTCAGCAAAGAGCATTTGATATTCGCCAGAGAAGTCTACCAGCCGAACATCTAGATATGGCACTATCAAATCAGAATCTAGCTATCTTGCATGAATCACGGAACGACTATCAATTAGCACTGCTATATTACAAGGAAGCATTGCGTATTAAACTCAGTTGTCTTACCCAAAAATCCCCTGAATACCTTAGAACGTGGGAATACTACAAAGATCTTTGCCAGAAGATACAGGATGTAAGTATGCATTATTTAAACAATTGGCGTTCTTTTCCAGAAAGATGACAAGCAAAATTAAAAGCTATCTAATAGATCAATTGAGTATTGCGTCGGAGAGCTATGAAACACTCAAAGTGACAAAACGTAAGCCTATTGTTCCCATTAGATTCTACTTATGTAGGAACCCATCTAAAATATTACTTTCATTCCAGCCCATATACTATTCATAGGTAGGGCTCACCGTGCAGGGGAAAACTCTACGTATATACCCATGTTGCGAATACCGGATCAATTTTTGCGGTAAACCGCGGTATTTATCCGTTCTGTGGTAATGGGAGCCGGTAACCGAACCGGTAAAACCACGGTAAACCGGCGGTTTTTTGCGCATGTTTATCACATGTAAAAGTAAAAAAAAGGATCTTTAAAATAGTTTAATTGATGATTTGGAAGACTTTTTCTGTCAAAAATTATAGATGAACCGGTTAACCGCTTTTTTTAGCGGTAACCGCGGTATTAATCAAAACCGGCGGTTTACCACGGTAAATGCCAGTTCATTTTTTGTGGTAAACCGCGGTATTTATCCGTTCTGCGGTAACGAGAGCCGGTAACCGGGCCGGTAAAACCGCGGTTAACCGCCGATTTTCATGCGGTTTTTATTACATGGGTACTAAGTTAAAACCTGTCACATATGTCGTAATTTACGACATATTCTAGAACATATTCATGTGCGACACATAATCTCCAGCGATTGCACAACATATGTTGCAGGATACAATCTAAAAACTTTTCGAATCTTCTAGCCAGCACATTTTTTTATTTTTTTTCGGTTTTATTTTATTGAGCAGTTCGATTTCCGAAAACTCCAGCACGCCAAATCATAGGATCTATTCCCTCTCCAGCTGGTCCAGTTTGTACCAGATCACTTCAGGGTAGCAGTGTCTCCAATGGCAAGTGTACACAGCAGAAGCAAAATGTACAGAACATCTGCTAGTTTTGATTTACACTCTACTATACACTTGCCCAGAAAAAAAGTGTACTATGTACAGTTTGCTAAAATAGTTTACACTCTGATTTCTTTGATCTCTGAACTTTAAAAGCCGCATATAGTTTTAAATCAATTAAATATATACCCACACTGTAAAAAAAATTCGTAGAATACTAAACCCTTAAGGGTTGATGAAAATGCAACGTATAATAAACCCTTTTTCCGTTTTTGAAAATTTTCATAAACCCTTAAAGGGTTTATGATTATGTGGAAAATATCCTTTATGGTTTATGAAAATTTTCAAAAGCGGAAGAAGGGTTTATTATACGTTGCACTTTCATCAACCCTTTTTGGGTTTAGTATTCTACGGATTTTTTTTACAGTACAGGTCGAGCAATCCGACAGTAGGCACCTATCGGAACCCATCCGATTCGACTAGAATCCAATAGGATTTTATCAGATCCTGTCAGATCTAACAGAATTATCATTGGATTCCGGGTCGATGAATCGATGTCGGATCCTCAGTGTCGGATTCCTATGAATTCCAAGGAAAAACCGTTGTGTGTCATCGGAAGGTTATAGGATTCCGACACTGAGGATCCGACATCGATTCCTAGACCCGGAATCCAATAGAATTGTATCGGATTGTAGGATATTTCCAGGTTCCTATCGGATCCGATGTCCGATCAGTCGACCTGGGTAGCTTTAAATTAATTAAGTATGATTTTTTTCGCTAGTGATCAAAATGTTTGTTTTATGAGATAAAAACTGACGAAAATTATATTTTGTTTTCTAGATTGTGAAAATTGGGCTTTTATACACTTTGATACACTTTGCTGAAAAAAGTAAAGTGTAATGTACACTTTGCTCTTAAAAAACAAAGTTTACAGTACATTTTGTCTTAGATTTCCATTGGAAACACTGCAGGGTAGCTCTACGTCAACCAACGATCGAGATAGGCATACTCTCCACTAATTAATAATGCAAAAATAATCTAGACAATATTGAAACGAAAATACAGTATAAATTCTCTATAATGAACGTCAACGGGATCCTCAAAAAAGTGTTTATTATATAGATCCTTAACATGAACTGAAATCTTACATGTATACAGTATATGGTTAGTATGACCAGTTGGTGACTACGCACGTTTCGTGTTAGAAATCGCCCCAGTTAGTTCAAAATTTAAAAAAGATATTTCATTTATCTATTAGACATATCTGTTTCGTTTTTAAGAGAAAACGCGTCGATTCAGATTTTATACTTGCTAGGAAGCGTGTGGTACGAAAACATCTCTTCAATTTCGAGAATTCACTATATCTATATAGAAAAGGTTAATGTGTGTTTCGTTGCCATCTCACGATCGTAAATAGAAAAGTGCGCTTCTCTTTCACATACGACCGATCAACATGTCGTGGACTTAATTTTTATGCTTCTTTTTTTTCTATACATGAAATGAATTTTCTTCTGATCAATAGATCGCAGATGAATTGCCATACCATTACTTTAAAACGGTCGGCATTGTTTTGACATCCAAAAGTTTGAGCTTTGATCACCAGAATTAATCAACACATGCATCAATTAGAGTAGAAGAGTTAAAATTATGTTGAAAATGAGAATGACAGTGAGGATAACCGAGACTTTCTCGATGAAGATAATAAAAATGGCGTGTAAAAGAATTAAAAATTCAAATAAAATTCCTTATTCCGTTGTTAAAATTAGAATAAATCAGCATATTTTCAATGTAATTAAATTTCAATTTTATCAGCAGGCTTTTCCTCTAGTTTTCAGACCTTTTTTTCTAGTTCCTTTAATTTGTTACTACACTTTGATCAATTTTTATCAATCTTTAGTAACAAAATAATTGGTTCCAATCTGAATTCTTAATTTTTCTGCACATGAGATACCCACAGTCACGTCATACCACTTCAATTTACTTATGGCTTGATTAATTTGGTGATCAAAACACATTTTTCCACTTCAGAATGCATGTAGTGTTCTATTTTTCTTTTTTGTTTCAAACGTGTGTACTTCGTTGCACTTTTGTTCATTATATAGATGTATTCTTTGCTGAAGGGACCAAAAAAGCGTTCATTATTCAGAGTTGGGAGGTGTTCATTATATAGAGGTTCATATAGCAAAAATCGCATGGAGGGAGGGGGCAAGATACACGTTTAAATAGGAGATGTTCACTTTATAGAGGTATTGATTAATAGAGGTTTTACTGTAGACACAAAATATAGAGTAAGAACAAAATCCATCATAAGGATGAAATCATAGTTACGCCTAACATTGACCTTTAAAAAATTTTAATCAAAGAATATCCACTACATAGCAGTTAGCATAACTGTTACATATAATGGAACAACATGTCTCATGGAGGTTCTACTCTTGTAATATTACTTGAACGATGATGAAACACAACATACATATAGAGTATCATTTTTACTATAACCCTATATAGAGCAATATTTTCGATAGTTTATTTTATAAAAAAATTAAAATACCTCCAGCTTCTGTATTGGACGGAATTCAAGTTTTTAGAAGATTGAGCTACAAAAGAAGATTTTGAAACTTGAGACCGATTTTCCTCTTACAAATGTAATTCTTAAAAAACGTAATCTTTAGAAGTGAGACGAAATTACATGAGAAAACACTAAAAACCTACACATTTGCAAATTCACACGGCGAACCATTTAAAAATTCTCTTAATATGAGAGTATATAAAATCTAGAAGTGACGAAAACGTTTCTATAGTTGATTACAATTTCAAGTGTGCCATTGCATCTCAATCTACTTTTAAAATCTTGAATGAAACGATTCAATAACATAATTTTTATCTAGTCAAATACAATGGGAATCGTCATTGTCGGTCCGTCTAAATCAGGTGCGTATGATTACTAGCTTATATTTATGTTTATTCATGACATATTTGTTTATGATATTAATGTGTCTTTCGTAGGCAAAAGCTTATTTGGAAATATGCTTGCTGGTACATCGTTTTTTGATGTACACCGAAACTATGCAACTACAGATTGTAAATTTTGTTTTCGTGATTTTCACGATAAACGTTTAATTATCATCGATACCCCACCGGTACTTGTGGATTACACGAAGAAAGAGAACTCTAATGCCATCCTGGAGCAAATCAAAAAATGTAATGCAGTACTTGAATCTAATCTACGATCAATTTTAATCGTTATCTCCAGTGAAACAAAGGCCGATGAAATTGATATAAATTTATTTTTTCAGCAACTGTATAAACATTTTGGTGAAGAGACTGTTCAACGCAAATCAATATTAATCCTAACACATTTAGATTTAATAGCTACAGAAGATCAAATGTCAATGACTGATCATTTACAACGAAATCAACATTTAACAGAGTGGATTCAAAGATGTAACGGCAATTATTTCGATGGGAGTAAACTACAAGCAGGTGTAGATGTCGGGAAAAAAAGTGGTGAAATCTGTAGTGATATTATAGAAAAAATACGTATGCTGCGTACTTTTGACTGAGCGCGTTTATTCTACTTTGTAACTTTTCAAAAATAAATTAATAAATCGCACTCATGCATTGGATAAAAGAGGGAAAGTGTCTACGAATGACAACACTGTAAATTTTGAACAAATTCTACTTTGTACAAATTCGGCCTTCAAACAGGCTATAGAATCTTTAGCCCGCATTTCAAATTTTTCTAAATGCTCTTTAGTCTGTTCAACAGAAATTCAATTTTATTCACAGCTCAAAATCAAAACTTAAATTTCAATGCTCTATTTTCATGAAAGTAGAAAATCATTACTGAGTTAATGTAGTGTGTGTGGGTGTCGACGTGACGATGTTTTTTTTTTCGTACACCCGTTTCCTACGGCAAGTACCACTACTAATGAGATAATTAGCCCAAAACTTTCAAGACAAACAGATGTAATTTCGATTAGTTACAATATTTAAATAAAAGTCATTAAAAAACTGCTTATTTTGCGCTATTCGTTTCAGAAACAATTCAATATCTCGAGAGCGGTTGTGAAATTTTTAACGCGGATCGTGTTAATATCCTTAAAACTATTCCGTCGAGAACATTTATATTGAATCAAGCAAATTCAATGACCTCAATTTTTCAACTTCTATAGGAGGCAGCGAGACTTATATGAATTGACTTGTGGATAAGTATCAGTACTTCACTTTAAAGCATGTTAATAAACTAATATCTCTAAAACTACTAGATCCTCTTAGTTACGCTGATTAGATTATAAAAACATCACATTTGTGATTATTACTATAGTGTTCTATTGTGGAAGCCTAGTAGTGTTTCTAATACCAGCCACTTTTCGATATGTTGATAGTTATTTTTTACCTTCAGTTTTACATGGCTAGATGCAACTTAAAAGTCTTTAAAAGATGCACTAAAACTATTCGTGTAGGTTCCATAACTGGAGTTACAGGATTACGAAAGGCAGGAAAAAATTGATTTTTTTCATATTGCTTTTCATGAAATTTTAATTTCAAACCAACATATAACTGCTGACTGCAGCAGCAAATATCTTTTTAATAATCCCTTCTATTTTGTAGAACAAGTCAATAGCTATAAGATGAAACTTGAATGAATGCTGTCGCATCAACCGTTTTCAAAAAAGTGAGAAAACATGAACCGCACCGTCACTTCGAAAAGGTTTCAAATCGAAAAAACGTGAAGCTCTACATACAAATGAATGCTCTTTCAAACTAGATAGTTTAAATCAGGCAAAACAAGTTGACTGTGGCCAATCTACATCAAAATGTTTGGTCGGCGCGTGAAACGTCTCTTAAGTAATGAAAGCGCAATCAGCCGACAATTCTGCACTATGTACTTCACAAAAATCAGTATGAAGTTTCAGATGAGCAACTCTATTCGAATTACATTCAGTTTTCGTATTTCATCAAAAAGTAAATAGATCATTCTAGAGCTTATGAGTATCGCACGGATAAAATATTTAAATCAGCGTTTTACTTTCTATTTGTAGTTGTTCAGTGATACAGTCATATATACAGTTGAAACTGATTCCTTGTGTGACAAATGATCCATATGCTGTCATTCTACTCAAGAAAGAATGTGCGTTGAATGAAGCAGCAGCAGTGTCCAAAAGCTGAAGTTTAGGAATTCTTCCGATATCTAAACATACCACACAAGAAATATTATCACTTCGAGGGAACGAGAACTGTTTCCGGTAACCATCACATATCCTAACTCATTCCTTCATACATTTCTTGAACGTAAATCCTAAAATTAAAAATTCGTGATAATTTCAAATCTCAAATCCTTCACATTAACCAAGTTAATCGTTTCAAAAACACAAATAATCATTACTTTCAAACAGCATACAGTGTGCGTTGCGAGAAACCAAAAATCTTGCAACCAAGACAGTTCTGCTGATAGTATCTAGCAAATAACTTAAGTATCTTCAAGGAATTCACTTCTTCCGAGTAGATGGGAAACCGATTTCCTCCACCCAGAAACCTTGATGAATCGAGTGTATCAAAAAGATCAGTTTCCCAGTTACACGTAGGAAGTGAAGGTTAACTGCTTGTAGCTAGTTAGATCAGTCCCTAGGTACTATCAGTATGTTGATTTCAATTAACTAGTTAGATTACTTCTGGATAGCGGTTGTTACACAGGCGATTGATTTTCAACCCTTAGTGTTGGTGCGTATTGTATGGTTGTGTAACACAACTTTCTCATTTATAGGGTTTTTTATCAGTTGCTTCTTTGTTCCTTGGGATTGTTTTTTAGGCCGACGGTTGCCGTTCCCTTTTTGGAGAATCGAGGTATTATGTAGACACCTCTCTCACTGCAAGTCACTACGAACTAATCGCCTTAAGAGTATCCCAGCGATGCCTCCACAACATTTGCCAAATTTATTGTTCAGTAATTAGTATTCATAGAATGCAAATAATTTCCTGAAAGTTTATGACGAACTATATCTGTAGAAATAAATATTTCGACCTCTTATTATCCCATTGAATTGTGCACTTAGGTGAAAATCTAGTATATTGGTCTTCTGGTTTATGTTTCATGATTTATAATCTTCGTTTCATATTTACAAGTGGTATGTTGCGCGATGCAGCGAACTGCATAATTTTTTCATATATACTGACGGAGTGAAAGTATCCAAGTTCTCAAACTTTTCACCAAGAATAAACAATGGAGAGAATGAATTGTTGCGTATTATATCTATGGGTTCAGTCATTTCAGTGATTTCACTTAAGCATACATTTGTTATTACTTAAGTGCCAAATCAAGAACGTTGATAATTGGAAGAAGCTTTAATACGAACGGAACAATTTTCTGTTTTTCTTTTCTTTGTAACTTCTGTTAATCGAAAACAGAAGACCGTACAATTCTGTCAATCACGCTCTTCTTCTCTGGTTCCATTGCTTTCGAGGAAGTGCCGATAAACAGGGGTACATTAAATTGCATACCTAAAACTAGCAGACAAGCATTTGTTGTATTCAATCATAAAAATAAGATTATGCAAGTATCGAGCAATTCCACGACTCGATATAAGCCTCATACTGTACATGTACGTCCAAGACAAATTTCATCGAATTCACTTTCAAATGTTGCTGTCAATCCAAGAGTAAAGGTGATATTTAATCCATGGAGTGGGGAGTCTCCAACAAACTTTAACCAATCGAAAAATATCATAGAACAACGAAAACCCAACAATGAACGTGAACGGTAGGTAAAAACTATTCAATCGAACTCATAAGGATTAGTATACTGTGTAATATTAAGCCAAGTATACTTACCAATGACTCATGTTTCTGAATAAGGTTTATTGCAGAGTGAAATAACTATATATGATAGAATGATGTACTATATTTTAGTGTATTTGAGAGTTTTAAGATAAATAGCCATCGGTATTGTCATTGGCTTCCCTATGCTTTCATACTTTTATGTACAACTATATTTTCTAGCCAACGTTCACGTCGAGGAGCCTGGTGTTTAATCTGTGCGTTAGTAACATGTGGTATATTCTTGGCTGCAGGGATTATTGCTGTACTTGTAATCATAATACGTGAGTGATCTTACTCTCTATCGTATTTTTCTAATATTATTTACGAAATTTTCTGAAAAACAGTACACAGTGACACAATAGCGACTAATTCAACAACGTCATTCAGTGAGTAAACCTTATTTTAATAATAAAAAAAACTCACATTAGGGCATAGTTACTAATTGATGTAAGTCTACAGCATCTCGACTATTTGGTGCTTCTAAGCTAACAGTAGTTTTTACCAGAATGATGTAAAAACTATTGAAAACTAAACATTGCAGTTTTCTAAAAAGCCTAGTAGAGTGAATTAAACTATCAAAAATAACCTAATTATGCTGTATAACGACCGATACTATAGCGGCAACAACAACGACAGCAACTACGACAACATCAACAACAACAACGACTACATCGAGTGAGATTTAAAAGTATCATAAACAACATAAGAAATGGAATGAGTATCGGAAATATCGTGTTTTAGCTTCAACTTCATCGACCAGCACCACTAGTACATCGACTTCAACTACATCGGCAAGTGAGTGAAATAGTCGTTTTTTCACATACATACAGTATATACGTATTTATTGTCCCTATTTATGATTTTTCATTTCTTTATTTATCTAGCAACAACAACGAGTGAGTATTTAGCCTTAATATCTAGTATTGATTCATATCGTATTCTATTTTACTTTGTATAGCACCATCATGTACGAGTCCAAATACAGCAGGAGCAATTTTTAGCTTTGCTTCTGGCTCTGCCCCAACCACCTATACACTTTATACACATGGTTTCACTGCTGCTGGTTCTTCAGCAACTCTATCATTTATCATGACAGGTGACAGTGGACCTGCTTTTCACTATTGGCTACTGGACACTATCGGTCAATGATACAGTTAATAATGCAAATATACTTGTCAATGGTGGATTTTCGACGGGCACCCTCACTGGTTGGACACAATATTGTGCTACTAATGCTAATTGTGGTGGAACTGGCACTAAGTACGGCCAACTAACGACGAGTACTTGTCAAACAGGATCGTACTGCTACGTAGATAAATGTGACAATTATGATTATCTGATTCAATCATTTACCACGAAAATTGGAAACTACTATATAATATCATTTTATTTGAGAATTTATGTCAATGGAGGTCCACATTCAGCATACGTTATGTTGGCCTAACTGAAAATATTTTTATTGATAAATAGATAATCGTATGAACAAATAAATAAATAAACCTAACATAACATTTTTTTGTGTGAACTAATCATCGCTGATCTTTACAATTAATTTTTTGAATAAAAATATTTTTCTATCTGATTTTTTTATTCCAAGAATCGAATCAACTCACTGCATATAGTTTCGATATTTGTGAGTTTAAACGCATCGATCTGCACGTACCCACACTCATCTAGTATCTAACGCCATCTCAATTTTTACAGAGAAATATTAAAAAGTCGCTAGTTGCTGGCTAATAAACAAAGGTTTCTATCGTTGCGAAACATATGATTCGTTCGAGTGAGACTTCCGTTTGGTTTGAATGGTTGATTGAGTATTTATCTCTATCGTTTACATGATTGAATTTATTTTTCATTGAAATAAAATAGTATTTTTTTGTAAATTTAAAAAAAAACAAGAAACCGTCTTCTTTCGATTGTTAATAGTAAATAATACGGAAAAAAAGAAAACATAATTTCATCCTGTATAAGTAATATCTCATTCTGTTCTTACTTAACCGTTACGTTCTTATTTACCTTAATGTCGAAATATTTCTACATACAGAGAAAATATTTAGTTATTTTTTTGCTTTTCATCAATGATTCATATTGTTTATTACACATGCTATTGTAAACCTTGTAATTTATTTTTCTAGATACTCTTTTTATTTACTGTCCACATTCATCAATTATTTTTTATAGTTCTTTTTTAATTTTCAATGACGGCTAAAGAAGATTTAGTCGAGTCAACGGTGAGTAATGGTCAACAAACAACAACAGATACAATTGATCAGCAACAAACACCACCTGATTATCAAACTTCCATAAAAATTGAGAATGAACCTGAAGAAGTCGAAGTTGAAATTAGTAAATAGAAAACAAAAAAATATTTTCAAAATCATCAATAAAAATTTCGTTCGTTTTTCTTTTCAAAGCTTACGATGAACATGGCGAACCAAAATTTCCACTCGATGATCTATTGAAACTTGAAGAACAAGTTGGCCGCGTACGATGGATTGTGCCTGTTCTACCTAGTGGTGAATTAATTAAATGTTTACGAACTGCTGTTTGTCTTGCAAGAGAAAGTAAATGATCCAATAGAATGTAATATTTCTTATACTTAGTTGAGTTTTTTGTTATAGAGATAGATACGAAAAGTGAATCATGCCAACGATTTATTCGTGATAGTTTAGTAACTTCATTTACAAAAATATTTTGTGATGAAGCTGTAGGAGGATGGAAAAATGATATATATGTAAGTAACTAAAATTGAAAAACAAAAAAAATCTTAATTACATATTATCTCTAGATTGCTATTTATAATAATGCTATGTTATTTATTCAATTATGTGCATTCAAAATTGATGATGACTGTTTTCCATTACTTGATGTTTTAAGTTTTGTTATGAATCCAACAGGACGGTAATAAATAAATTTTATTAAGCAATGAAACATTCTGTTTTCTCTCTCTCTCTCTCTCTTTCTTCTTATTCATAGTTATCATCAAGCTAATCATAATCGAACAAGTTTATATCATCTTAAGAATGACAGTGAACCATTTGCTGCAACAATGGAATATCGTTTTCCCCAAAGAGTATGTATTTTTTTTTGTTCATGAAAGAGACTACAACAATATTTTCACAGGACACATACTATTATTGCATCTGTTTTCAATATTTTAGGGTTGGCTTGTAGATTTTATAAATAAATTTGGAGAACTAGGTGGCTTTGATAAAATTCTCAATCGTTTCACCTCAAGCGAAACTAAACTAACGATATCAGTTGTTATTGCACTACTCAAACCTTGGGGTCTCTGTTATGAATACTTAACACAATCAACAATAGAAAAGTATTTCGCACGTATTATTGTAAGCAATATCTTTACGAAATTGATTTACAAAAATAAATACTCGAATTTTTATTTAGGAATTTGTACCACTATTTCTTAATCAATTGACAGAAAATGACTTTAAAGTTGAAGTAAAAACTGAATCAAAAAATGATTCCTTATCAGCAGTCATCAAATGGCTTCGTCATCTTGCATCACGTTTACCGGATAGTGATAGAGCATGTCGAGATTTAGATGAACTTCGTCTTAAAATGATTTTACGGTACGAAACATTTCTGTTTGTTTTTCGTTGTACTAAAACTGATGAAAACTAGAAGAGATTTTTAATATTCTTGATTTTCATTTGTAGGCTTCTACAAACAAATTCATTCAGCGGTAAAATGAATGCACTTAATGAAGTTCATAAGCTTCTTCCAAGTCTTACTCCAATACATCGTTCAACATTGAGTCGCCCGGATGATAATGAAGGTTTAACACCAGAAAAATTCATTGTAAATAAAAAAATAACATTAATCAATTGAAATTGAAATCTTATTTGTTTTGTTGTTGTTTAGCAATGGATTCAAGAACATCAAATTCTCGATATTGTCCTACGCGATTGTTTGCATCAACCACAATATGTTGAAAAATTAGAACGAATCCTTCGTTTTATGATTAAAGAACAAGCATTAAGTCGAAATGATTTAGCAAAAATTTGGAATGCATCTTGCGGAAAACATGAAGCTATTGAAAAAAATGTCCATGATTTGCTTGCAAAATTAGCCTGGGATTTTTCACCTGAACAACTTGAACAATTATTTGATTGTTTTCGAGTAATAACTACTATAAAAAGAAAAAGCCTATTTCATTAATGTTATGAATTATTCTTTTTCAAAAAAATCTATAGGAAAGTTGGACAAAGGCGAGTAAAAAACAACGAGAAAAACTCCTTGAACTTATTCGACGATTAGCGGAAGATGATAAAGAAGGTCTTATGGCTAATAAAGTAATACGAAAGAAATCGATTCATTTTAATTTTTTTTTTGTTGTGTTTAAATAGGTGCTAGAATTATTATGGAATATTTCACATGATAAACTTTTTCCGAATGAAATTATTGATCAAGCTTTAGCAGCACATTTGAAAATTCTCGATTATAGTTGTTTACCAGTAAGTAAAGATTTTCTCCCAAAAACAAAATCCATTGAATGATGGATTCTACAGAATACATTCGCTGATAAACATCATTGTCTGAATGACTCTGTTGAATTATTATTTCTATGATTATAGAAGAATTCTTGTAATTTAATAGGAAAAAGAAAAAACAAAATTATCTTGGATCGATCGAATGATGGAAGAAGTTAAACAAGATCAGCATGTCATTATTTCACTAAAACAAATGCGTGAAATCTGTACACAATTTTCTGAAGTTAGAAAATTTCCAAAATATTTCTATATTAATTTAAAATCTTTTTCTCGCCTTCGATTTTAATAGCATGCCTACATGCATAACATGTCACGTATATCTTATCCATTGAATAGAATCAGTCTTATTGATCGATTAGAAGAAAAACATAAAATAACTCGTGTTATTACCGAAAATCTTTGTCATTATATGGAAAATACGAGAAATTGCCGAGAAGGTAATAGAAAAGAATAGTTGGATTTTTCTAAAAAAACGAATTTAGAAACCAAAAAAATCTTACCGCCGGAAGATTATTACCCCGATGGTCGTTTTAATCATAGTCAGCAAATCAATGAACGTTTAGTTTTTCTCAAGTAAAATTATTTAGAAAATATTAGAAAACTAACATCTATATTTATATTTAAAGGTTTATATTAAAAGAAGGTCGAATGAATCTATGTTTTGATTTTACAAAAATGCTTTGGATAACTCTTGCTGAACAGCCAGTTTATCCATCTGATCGTGAACAATGTTTTCGTTGGTTTGCCGAAGTAAAATCAAAAATTCAAAGTGCTTCTCGTTTTTAATCATATCCTCTGTTCTAGATTATTGATGAAGTGGGTTTTGATTTTAAAACAGGAAAAGATTTCTTTCAAAATCATTTCATGAAACTTGAACCTCATCTACTTACTGATCTTGGCATGAAGTAAGTTACTCGTATAGCAACTGATGTAGTTCAACACTACAGATCGATCCTATCTCTTGTGTATTCGGAGATTTAATCTATTTTTAGTTGTTTTGATCGTTTTTTCAAATCTGTCAATGCTCAACTGAATAAATTTCTTCCGAAACGTCGTTCAATGCGTCTAATAAACGATGAAGATCTTGTCGGCATTGAATATCTATGGAAATTAATTTTGAATGGTTCTGATATTGTTGCGAATCGTGGCATTCAATTGATTAAAGAGGTTTATACAAACATTAGTCCATCGTTAAAAAATGATATTAAACGTATACATCAAACATTTCTTGGTGAATGTTTTAAACGTTTACGTGTTGTTTATGATAAAATAAAATCGAAAACTACCCAAGCAACACATCAACAAATAATTAATTCATTAATACGAATTCTTGTTGTATTAAGAGAATATTTAGCTGAATGCGATTATTCCTATCATAAAGATAGACATAGTTTACCAATATCAAGGTAAAAATTATTAAAATTCTCAACAAATTTTATTTTCGTGTTTACAGAGCATTTCGAGGTCGACCGGTAATATTAGTTTTTCGTGTGAATACTGGACAAAATAGACAAACTGACGACTACGAAAGTCCATCGCATCTAAATGAAACATGGGGACATATTCGACGAATGATTTATAATCGGTATTGTTCTAATTCTTTTTTTCAAGGAAAATTCAGAGAGTGAAGCATTTGAAAGGATTTCTAAATATGTGTAATGTTGAGAGAATTTAAAGGAAAAGCAAAATATATTATTTAGATACAAAACAAATTATGGTATCCTCGAATTATATCGAAACAATGAACTAATTTATCCAGAAGATGATAATAAAACATTAGCACAGACCGATGGACGTGATAGAATTGTAAGTGAATTGAACCCGACTATTCAAACAATTAAAATCTTGCATTCTATTTAGACTATCACTGCTCGTTGGGTTCAACAAACAACTCACAATGTCTCAAGTGATGAAAGCAGTTCATCGGGATCCGAAATGAATAATAACATTTCATCATCAGTATCGTCGGCACATCATACTCGTATTTTGGATCCTATTGATATCCATGCTGAAAGTTCATTGCCATCTGTGGTAAATAGAGATAAGAATTCATTGCATTTTTGTGAAACACGATCTAAAAAAATTACATCGTGTTTCACATATTAATGCTATCGAAATTCCTCTAGCAACTTATTTTCTTTCTCTATTTGTTTCATACAGATATTTTCTCAAAAACATGAATATTATCAATTTCTCATCGAATTATCCGATATGGGTTGTAAAGAAAATAATATTCGTCTTCGAGATACCGCACGTCAAATTCTTGATTTAGTTCCTGTCGATCCTCATGCAAATGTTACATTTATTAATTGCATAGCACCTTCAAAACCCAATTTAGATGAAAATATGGCTCGTTTGAAAAACTACTATTTTCCATCATCGCCAACTCAAATGCTATACAATTTAAAAACAACATTAGTTTTACTCGTACCAACTATTCTATTGAATGACTCCAACGAAATCGAATCGATGTATGTACGATTTCTTAATACAGGCGGTTTAGTTTGTCTATTGAGTATTTTAACGCAAGAACAAATCGCTGATCAATGTGATATGAAAACACGAAAATCAATTTATTTAATTATATTCAATATAATTAAACGTGTTCTGGTTATACTCGGATTTTATCAATTAAAAATATCGAACGCATCCATTGATAATGATTCATTAGATCAAATCCTTAGTTCCATGTCAACAGTTACTGTTGGAGAAAATCATACACCAATACCACTCGAAAAGAAAATTGCTCTATTATTATTTAAACATATGAACGATTTTCCAATACCGAAAAATTCCTTTTTACAATATAATCATATTATGGATTTCATACGTCTTATTTGGTGTTTAGCATCGAATAATAAACAAATCTCATTTGATGTTAATATTAAAAACGATTTTAATGTTATTCATCAAACATTTAAGCTAGAAAATGTAAGTACCATTACAATTACAATTTTTCTGATGAATAATTTTCTTTTTCTATTCTAGGTCAATACAAATGATCAATTGGTTATCAACGATTATGCTGAAGAAGACATCGAAAGTCAATCAGCATGTCGTGAAATTTTAGAATTATTCTGTATATCAATTGTTTTAGTGCCAACAAGTGTTCAACAATTATTAAAGGAGAATTTTCTAGAATATTTTCTCATGGATCTCATTCTCTATTGTCATTACTCAGCTATACGTCATACAGCATCGGAACAAATCCTTATGTTAACAACACGTTGTTCTCAAGGACAAAGTGAAAATCTATTACAATATCTTATTGATAAACAATTTCAAATATTTAATAAACATTCGAATAATTTAAAAATCTATTCATCATATTCTTCCGATTTCTTTCTATTGTTATGTCGTTTATTATCATTTGCTTATCAAAATCAAATTCTACCATCAAATACTGATCAGCAATTGCATGATGAAATACTTTGGTTAAAAAATCTTCAATTGCCTGTCGACGATCATTTGCTTCGTGGTCATTTAAATTTAGCCAAAGAATTATTACAATTTCAGCCAAGTGAACGAAAACGTTTCTATGGAATTGATCAATTATTAGTTCAGCAAATTATGGAACAATTTCTTTTTCCAGCATCAACATTACTCTATCAACTTCGTTCAACTAAACGAAAGTCTGTTGTTTCAGAAATAAATGATACTGAGAACAGTGAACTGAAAGAACCATCGGCTCCGATTTGTCAAACACCCATAGCAATATCAGCTGCATTTGATTTATTAGTTATACTTGGAACTAATTGTATTGATAATGTAAAATTAATCGATAAATATATGACTGATCTATTTTATTCAGGTAAAACAAAGCAGACGATTTTTGTGAACATAAGCTGTGCCATTAGAATTCGTCTATCTATTACGAAATAGCTTAGTTGATGAGTTTTATTATGTATTTAAGAAGATTTTCTATAGATTTTTGTTTCTCGTGAATAATCAGAGAAGATCGCTCTTACACGTGAAAATTCTTTCTTTTTTTCCACGTTCTCTATGCATTGACTATTAAAAGTCACTAAACGATTACTTTTATTATTCTCTAATAGCGCCTGATTCAAATTTACATGAATGGGACTTTTCTTTGCCCATTGGTTCACGTCCAAACGGTGGTTTTGTCGGTTTAAAAAACGCTGGAGCAACATGTTATATGAATTCAGTTTTACAACAACTATTTATGATTCAACCATTACGTACAGCTTTATTGTCTGCTAAAATTCCACTGGAGTATGGTGATGAGGAGCCAGAGGACGACGATCTACGTCGAGATACAGTATGGATCGATTTTTGTTTTTAAGTGTAAAATAAAAGCGAAAACATTTTCTTATTTAGTATGATTCATATTCTGATATAAAATCATCTGCTAAAGGTAAAGATAATCAGACAACGGTGTCACCAGCAAAAGATGTTGCAAACGACAGAAACGAATATAATATTCAAATTCTTCGTCAAATTCAACGAATATTTGGATATTTATTAGAATCGAAATTACAATTTTATATTCCAAGAGGATTTTGGAAAATATTCAAGTAAAGATTGAATATAAAAATTAGATTTTATTTTATTTTTCTTCATTGCAGATTTGCTGGAGAACCTGTAAACTTACGTGATCAACAAGATTCTGTTGAATTTTTAAATACTGTCGTCGATAGTGTCGATGAAGCATTAAAAACATTAAATTTGCCGCAAATATGTTCGAAAGTCTTGGGCGGAAAATTTGCTGATCAAAAAATTTGTAAAGATTGTCCACATCGGTAATGATACGTTCTTCAATTCTATTCAAAATAGAAAATCCGATTTCTATTTAGATATTCACGTGAAGAAGATTTTACGTTGATAAGTGTTGATATTCGTCATAGTCAAAATTTAAAAGAATCTCTTGAACAATATGTCATCGGAGAACTTCTCGATGGACCTAATGCGTATCATTGTGAAAAATGCAACAAAAAGGTACCAAGAAAGCTCTGTAGGATTTTACATTTTTTCTCTCTATATAGGTTGATACAGTAAAACGAACATGTTTTAAAAAATTACCACCCGTTCTTGCTATTCAACTTAAACGATTTGATTATGATTGGGAACGTGAAACGCCGATTAAATTTAATGATTATTTTGAATTTCCAAGAGAATTGGACATGGAACCATACACTGTTCAAGGTCTTGCTAAAGCTGAAGGTATATATTTGGTGATCATTGAAAGATTGACATAATCTTAAATGTCGTTAACTTTATAAGGAATTAGTTCTTGTACGATTTGTTTGTCTTAGGTACTTCTGTGATTGATGAAAATACGACCGATGATCAAACTTCAACAAATACTAATAGTAATGATGGCACTTGTTATAAACTTGTGGGTATCATTGTACATATGGGTCAAGCCAATGGTGGCCATTATTATTCATTTATACAACATAAGTAAAATATTCGAAAAATAATTTTTTTTGTATTAATCAAAAACGTTCGATTCCTATGTTTAGAAATGAATCCGATTCACCCTTTAGTTCTAATTGGTATAAATTTGATGATACAGATGTCAGTGAATGTAAAATGGATGACGATGAGGAACTTCGATCGCAATGTTTTGGTGGTGATAATCCAGCATCATCATTTGATCAACCAGCTATGAAACGGTGGGAATTTTTCAAATCTATTCTATTAATAATGATTTTTCTATAGACAACGACGTTGGTGGAACGCGTATATTCTATTCTATGAAAAAATACAGACTGGTGCTGAAAATTCGATTGAGAATTCAGAGAACGGCTTAGCACAGTTACAATTATGTATGTCAGAAAAATGATCGATTGATTAATTCTTTCGCTTTTTTTTGTATTTATATTAAAGATGATCAAACTCAGCGTATGCCAATCTCAGTTCAACGTAGTGTCCGAAAGCAAAATATCAAATTTCTTCATAATCGATTACTTTTCAGTTCCGAATATTTTATGTTCATGAAAAGGCTTGTACAAAATAATGTACAACATTTACTTAGTATTCTTCCACAAGCACAAAATGACAAGAAAGAATCTGTTACTAATGTAATTAATAATTTTAGTTCTCATAAGAAAAATATTAGAAAAAAATTCGTTTTTTTTTGTTTTTAGACAATCGAAGAATTAGCACTCATTTGCGTTCAAATAGCAACAAAATTCATTTTCTCAATAGGATGGCATACAAAGAAAGCACTTCGGTTTGTATCTTCATTCATTTCGGATCGATACGGAGTCATACGTTCCTATAGACAGACCAACGTTCTGAGTTCATCAAATCTTTCAGTTCGTTGATAAAAAGAAAAGTTTTCTTCTTCTTTTAGTGGTCAAACTAATGAATGGACTGAAGCGATATCACATTGTTTACGTCTATCACGCAAAGCTCGATACTATTTAGCTAATGAAGTTTTAGTTAAATATCCAAATCGTTTTCAAGAATATTTAATTGATTGTACATCAGCTGACGTAAGAAGAAAAGGAAATCCTGTTTTTTTTTATAACAGCAAAAATCATTTAGATCCGTAATGCATTTGGTCGAGTACTTGTCGCTTTGGCTAGAAATTCGCGAGTAGACGACGAAGACGCTAATCGATTACCGGGTATTTATTTCGATTAGATAAAGATTTTATTTTAATTATTTTTGCTTTTCTCATATAGATCAAATATTCATCGAAGAAAGTATTATTGTTAATGTTATACGTTTACTTAAAAAAGAAATGCTTGATAATGTTAAAATGTTAACACAATACTTTCAATTTTTTATTCTCTATTCGTCACACGGATGTTATGAAGTGAGCTTTTTTATATATAGGGCGTAATTATAAATCATTTTTGTTGTGAATATTAAGTGTGAAAAATTAATTCGTTTGAATGTCCCAACATTTTTTGCTCATATGGCTTTCGATGACTTACCATCCACGTCAATAACACGTTTTAATGAACCATCGAAATTTTCTATAATACTTTCAACATTGATTCGTTGCTATGATGTGTCGGCATTATGCAAAACAAAACAAGTAAGATTATGAACCTTCATGGATTTCTGAAGCAGAAGAAAAAAAATGATTTGTTTAATTTAGTCCAATAATGAACTTTTATCCAATCCATTTAATATATATGACAATAATCCAATATGTCCAATTCCTGAAGAAATGATTAATATTGTTTATAAAAATGAGAACTTTTTGAGACGACTTATTGAAGATAGTAGTACATGCGAAGAATTACATGGTCTTATTCGATTTCTTGTTTGGGAAAATCCAAATGTTACCTGCGCTATACTGCATGAAATGGTTGGATCAGTAAGTTAATAGTAGAAACCGATAGAATACATTGAATTTTGAAGTAAAAGCAAATGAATACTTCGCTCTATAAATTATTTCAAAATAGATCAACAATCGATGTTTATATAAAAGTTCACGAATCAAATTTTCTATCAACTACCTACTAAAAAAACAAATAATAGTAATAGAAAAGTTTCTTTATCGAAATATCGAATTTATAAGTCAATCTAATATTTTGTGACAGGCGACTTATTGTTGGAAATTTAATACCTATTTGTTTAGACTAAAGCTTTCAAAATATTCTCAGTTGTGTTACGCCTTTCTGACGATGAAACTTCATAATTTTATTTCACGTTACCAGGACTTTTTTGTGAGATCGATCTTAGTGCACATGACGTTTTATTGATCCATGTTGTGAAAATTAAGAATGAATATTTCTTCGATTCGATCTATCATTTTTAGTTCTCGAAACTTTATGCAAACGACCTACGTAGTCATCTTGATATATTATATTTGGTGCTATCAGTTGAAGATTCATGGCAAGAGGCTCGAATTCTATGTGTATTAAAAGGCACTCCAATATCAAATGAAAAACAGATAAATAATGAAAACGCATTACCGTCGACAACATTAAATAAAAATCAGAAAAATACTTGTCAAACTCTATTTGATATATTCTCAAAATTGGAATTATCTTCTGAAAAACGAGCTTATCAATTAGTTAAAACACTCTATCTATTATTTGCCAAGTAAATAGAATTCATTTTTTTCGAATTCTCGTAATCAATCATTGTAATTTAGATGTGGAAGCGCAGTGAGCTTATTACAAACAGATCAAGATGTCAAACGTCATTGGATACATGTTGTTCGTTGGTTACGCGATCAACTTGACGTATTTGAAAAAATATTTTTTTGTAAATCAATCTTCTATGATTTATTTTTCTTAGGGACAAAATCACATTCCATCAAATCATTCTTATTATCCAACTCAAGGACCAATTGCAAGCAACGATATATCCCAAGGATATTTTCTTGAACGAACGCAAAGTGCCCAATCACTATTAGAAAAAGCATGGGATTTATGTTCGGAGAAAGTGAGAGAATTAAAAAAATTAGATTTTTGACGATTAGTAATGATTGTTTTTTCTTAAGGATTATGATGAGATCGGTTCAAATAGTGATGAGTTTGATGAAAACTAATTTAACCAAGCATCAAAGATTCTCAAAGTTTACCTAAAAATAAACTATGTGTCATCATAGTAGACTTTCAGAGAAAACAAAAAATACCAAGTTTCATTTCCGCTTTGTTTTTGTCTAAACCCAGAAATATACGTTGACGAAGTCTGTATATGTCGAAAATCTTCTTATTCCTTGTAAAAAGAAAAAAAAACAAAAAATATTTTCTACATTTTATTTTATTTTACTTTTTCTCTTTTTAACTACATCAAAACTAATTTTATGTGTATATTTGTGTCTTGTCCTTGAAAAAAGCAAACAGGTTATTTTTTTTATTTGAAGAGTATTTTGACGATCATACTAATCATGATGATGATGATGTTCCACCTGTGCAACTCAGCTGTAGCTATTTTGTGTGTGTGTTTATTCTAATACTATCGCAGCTGCGTTTTCAGTTTTTCTTTTGTTTCTTTTCGTTTTTTTTTTTAAATTCAGAAATCGAAAGCGCACGAGCGCAAGGAAATTAAATAAAGTGAATATATTTTCAACAAATGATCTAATAGATTAATCAAGAGTATTATATCAAATATGTACTGAATAGCGTTGTATGTAGTACACAGCTGCTGGCATTATTTCATAGTACTATCAATCCTAAATTCGGAGTAAAAAGTTTTTGACATGATAATATTTTTATTCCAAAAATTAATCAAGAAAAGCAAGCATGATTATTTTTAAACGAATGATTAGTTCACATAAAAAAATGTTATGCTAGGTAAATTAATTTATTTGTTCATACGATTATCTATTTATCAATAAAAATATTTTCAGTTAGGCCAACATAACGTATGCTGAATGTGGACCTCCATTGGCAAAAATTCTCAAATAAAATGATATTATATAGTAGTTTCCAATTGTCGTGTTAAATAATTGAATCAGATAATCATAATTGTTACATTTATCTACGTAGCAGTACGATCCTGTTTGACAAGTACTCGTCGTTAGTTGGCCGTAATCAGTGCTAGTTCCACCACAATTAGCATTAGTAGCACAATATTGTGTCCAACCAGTGAGGGTGCCCGTCGAAAATCCACCATTGACAAGTATATTTGCATTATTAACTGTATCATTGACCGATACAGTGTCCAGTAGCCAATGGTGCAAAGCAGGTCCACTGTCACCTGTCATGATAAATGATAGAGTTGCTGAAGAACCAGCAGCAGTGAAACCATGTGTATAAAGTGTATAGGTGGTTGGGGCAGAGCCAGAAGCAAAGCTAAAAATTGCTCCTGCTGTATTTGGACTTGTACATGATGGTACTATACAAAGTAGAATAGAATACGATATGAATCAATAGTATTGATTCAATACTAGATATTAAGGCTAAATACTCACTCGTTGTTGCTGTTGTTGTTGCTAGATAAATAAAGAAATGAAAAATCATAAATAGGGGCAATAAATACGTATATACTGTATGTATGTGAAAAAACGACTATTTCACTCACTTGTCGATGTAGTTGAAGTCGATGTACTAGTGGTGCTGGTTGATGTAGTGGAAGCTAAAATAAGATATTTCTTATGTAGCTTATGATACTTTAGATCTCACTCGATGTAGTCGTGGTGGTTGTTGTTGTAGTTGATGTCGTTGTTGTTGAAGCTAAAAGTGTAAGTCATTATGTCACGTGACTAGAATATATTTTTATAGCTTAAGTCGCTCTACTAGACGTTTTTAAAAACGAAAATGGATTTTTATGTTCATATTGATTTTTAGAGAGTAAAATGTTTACTAAACTGTATAGTGTTCGATAGCTGTTATATCTCAGACTGTAGCATATATTTGTTGATGTTGCTCAATTGAAAGAAATCAGAGGGTGTCAATAAATATCCTGTCAAAGTATTTGAATGTACGATAAAATGAAGAAAACTGCTTAATAAGAGCTAATCTAAACTGAATAAAAATAAAAATAGGTCTTCCTGTATTTCTACTTAAGAACAGTAGACATTGCCTTTCTGATACCCGTGTAATGTCTAATCATTACTGGACATTGTATTTGAGAACTATATTCATAATTACAACATGCTCTTCTCTGCAATCAAAAGAGAAAGTTCAATGAAATATACACAAATAAATCTATGGATTCTTTTTGATTGAAATTCATAACTACACCCTAATGTGACGTATTTCTTTATTATTATATGGTAAGTGTTGTTACTCACTGGTGGAGGTAGTCGATGTAGTTGTTGTCGTAGTCCCGTGTGCTAGTTTTTTAAAAAGTTTTGTAAATAAAATAAGAAAAATATGATAGCGAGTAACATCACTCACGTAGTATTACTACCAGTATAGTACTTATCACTGCAGCCAAAAAAATACCACACATGACTGCGGAACAAAACACACACCAGGCTCTTCGGCATGGAATTTGACTAGAGAATGTAATTACAATTAAAAATATGAAATTTTAGTGAATTCATTGAGAATGCCGATGATTATTTATGTTAAGACTCAAATACACGACTTATTGTTATCATCAACTCATTCTAGTCGATTCATCAAGCACCTTCAATGTTCGACTGAAATTCAATAGCTTTTAACCTACCGCAAACGCTTAGTGCTTGGCTTAAGTTGTTGCTTCATGTTCGGCGGTAGATCTATGGTGGATGGAGATACCCGACTGCGTTGATTGAATTTCACAGCTTTTCTTGGTTTGACAACATTACTCGAAAACGAATATTGTGCGTTTTTCTCGGCAATCGAAGAAGCTGGTGGTGATTTATAAACAGTCACGTTATTGGTGTCATTATTTGATGAAAATGTTCCTGAACGTACGCGTCCAACATGATGCTTATATTTAGTCGCTAAGCTGCTAGATACATCCATACCTGTATCGTTGTGATAGAATGTAGCAAATGTTTGTCTGCTACTTTTATACGCAAAATTGATTGCGTTTCTCTTTATTATAGTAGCTCCGAAAGCAGAAAAATCATCTAAGAAGAGTTTGATCGAAAGACTGGCATGGTCTTCTGTTTATGTTTTGATTAATACAAATCTACAAAACAAAAGAAATTGGGCTGTTTGCGAAAAAATAATTCAATCAGCAACATTGTGATTGGATCCTTAAAAAGAATCAAATATATGATTAAGTGAAATCATTGCAATGATCAAATCTATAAATATAATGCGCAAACATTCAATCTCTTCATTGCTCTTTCTTGTTTAAGAATATTACAGTTTGATTTCTTTCGCTCCCTGAATATATCACATGACATAATACTCGCAAATAAGAAATAAAGGTCAGATCATGTAATACAATTTAGAAGAACAATATACTAGACTTTTAACTAAATGGAAAATCCAGTAGGATTATGAGGAATCGAAATACTTATTTCCATAGATAGTTCGTGATAAACTTTCACGAGATTATTTACATACTAAGAACGTCAACCCATGGGAAAATGTTCGTTACTTTTCAATGCTGCAAAACGCGTTAATGCTAGCCGGTTTAATGCGTTCGCAGCTGATGAATCGGTTAAAAACGTCTCGGGATGATATATTTTTCGTTTTGATTCTGAAAGAGTGGCTCCCAAACGCATTTTGAGTAGGTGGGGAAATTGGTTTTACGCCTGTGCTACCATAGGAAACGCTGCGAAACACATTAAATCGGCCAGCATTAACGCGTTTCACAGTGAATATATCTTAATTTTTTATCCCATGGGAACTACTGAACAATCAATTCGGCAGTGTCATTTTCGATATGGATCTCGGGTGTCGGTTGATCGTGCATGGCATGTTTGTTTGGAGACAGGTGTTGAAGAACAGAGCATCCAATATTTACCTACATCGACGAGCATTCTCAATCACAAAGAAGTCATATATTTCTTATGAGGTCAGCCCTTTTAATGCGAAATAGATTTATTTTTAAAAATAAAAAAGAAATCTTTTCAACATTTCATTTAATCCCGACATTTTTATACCTTTTCCATGCATAAATAGTTACATGTTTGAAGGCCAACGTTTTTATTTGAATACTGCTATTTTCTCATTCACCTACCAACATCACTGTAGATTATAAATATTCAAATCTTTATCATACTATTAATTTTATCTTGAAATCGATAGAGTAAAAATATATGAATTCCTCTTTTCCAAAATAAAATATAAAAGCAATGCCGTAGTTTTGATGCATGTCTGCTATTGATGCAAGTATGTGAACAATGCTTCTTACTACTTAAATATTCCCTTCTATTTAGAACTTGTAATTTTTTGTAGGCAATCAATCATATGATGTGCTTATCATATAGCTCTTTAATTCTTAGCATAAATAATATTGAATGACATAATTCAAAAGTCGTATATAATCAGAAGTGTATGTTCGCCTTTGAAACTTATAATGATTCTTTCAAGAAATTTCAAACAAAATAAAAATAGAATATCGAACACTTTTCGATTTTTGTATTGCAGGATTGAATCGCTGATTCTTTTCTACAACCATCACAGAACATGATCCTTTTTTGTGTACTCAAAAAGTGAGTACACTCTAGAATCGGCCAGTGTGTCCGGCCCTTTATTCGATAACTCTTCACAATTACATTCGATTGAGCTGAAACTTTGTGCACAGAATTGTCTCATCAATATCTAGGTCGAATTCAAAGATGAAAAGGATCCGTCAAGAAATGGTTGAGTTATCGAAAAAATTGTCATTTTTTACCAGGTCATCCCTGAGGAGGAGTACAGGGATTTTTTTTCCAAAAACAAATTTTTCTCAGAATTATTCGCAACATACATAAATCGACTCAATTTTTAACGATGATTCCGAATCTGATCTTAGTTTTGAACTAAACCGTAGCTTTCTGATGAAACATCGCCTGAAAAACGTCTCAAAATGCACAAAAACTGCATCCAGAAATCAAATTGTCTAGTTTCTCATGATAATTTTGGTGTTCAGACATTCTAGAATGACTCATATATCTCATGCACTTTTTGCAGTACACATAACTTTCGGATAAAATCCGAAGTTTCCACATTTATTTATTAATTATTTAACTAATGACCATGCCATATCCTAGGAAACAATATTTGTATAACTATTATATTTTAATTCCGCAAGAATATCACTGACTGGTTTTAATCATATAAAGCATCACCTTCGTAATCTTATCCAATATTTCAAGTAAAAGTGACAAAAGTTAAGATTGAATATTAAAGGGCTAAATATTAGTGCGAATGGGAATTTATGGCAGAATTTTCTACATACCTCTCTATTTCGATTACTAAAGAATTTTCTAATTAATTCTATCTCAACCACAGTTAGTTTAATAATGTAAGCACACCATATTTTAGGACCACACAGTCTAACACTAGCCATAGTCATAAAATAAGCTGAGACACGAAGAAGATTTAGTTTAATTTTAAATATTTTAATACAATCATGGATTTTAAGAGCTCGAATAGTTCCTCTCTGTATCCTATATGACGTTGATATTGATACTGCATTTATGAATCAAAAAAGGACATAGTTTATTTGTTCATTGATGATTTGTATGATTCAAACTGGATTAAAGGTTTACGGGAGGCAAAACTGGTGGAAACTAATCACTTGATATAAAAAATAAAATCAGATGTTTGTGTCCTTCTGTTCGTTTGGCTCTCTTTTCCTCAGTATCGAAAGATACATTTTTCGAGTCTCGCTTTATATTTCTTTTATCTGAACATAACAAAT